TTCTCTGAATGGAGACCATCACCTCCTTTGATACTGTATTTATTAAATATAAATGACTTCACCATTATTTGAGGTGGATAGAAATAAGGCTATGTGTAACTTGAAATTTCTGAGCTGGCTATTAACTTATGGGATAAAAACACTGGTTAGGGGTATGAGGGAAATTTGATGTGCTTGTTCTCCCTCGGTCTATTTGTCCTGACCCTGTTGTAACTGTTATGACTGGTTTTGATTTTCTGGGTGTCACCAATTTCTCCTTGATTTGATCAGAATTTGGCTTTGTTTCCTGTGGTTTTTATCATATTTTATCCAAATCCTTTTTCCTGTATATATATATATTTTAAAGGAATAGAATATTTGTAAATAAAGGTTTTTATCTTGTTCAAAGCCAAATACTGGGAAAGCACTCTTCTTTGTAATATGTAACTAACAGAGTGAGAAATTTATGTTGGAAAGGACTTCATGAGTAGATAGGTGAGACAATTTGGTAGGCTTGTACTAATAGGTCTGCTTCGAGCCTCAACTTCACAGGCCTAGAAGCTTATAATGGCCAACCTATGATATAAAATAATATTGGTCATAAAGGCATTTGCTAATTATGTCATATTAATAAATGTAGCCTGTAAATAGTTTGTAAGGCCTTTTTTTTCCTGCCTTATTTTCTTTTGCCTTAATTTTAAAGTTATTTTTTAACTGAATAAACCATCGGACCATTTTTTCTCCTGTCTTGGAATAGCAATTCTTTCTATGCAATTAAATGGGGTATAGTGCTCCATATTGCCCTATGTCATTTTTTAAAACCAGTCTTTGTCCAAGGTTTTAAAATTGAGTTAATTTATCTCTTGCTTCTCCCAATCCAGCCATGCCCTTTGCAGTACAGTGCAAGGTCAACCACAATTTGTGATTTATAAACAGGTATATTAAGAGTATGCAATGTGTAGACCAGAATTTTTTGGTTATACTTGTCTTCTCAGGCATTGACACCTACTACTGTGAGGGTCTACTCCAGTCCTATAGTGCAGCGGTTCTCAACCTGTGGGTCGCGACCCCTTTGGGGGTCGAACGACCCTTTCACAGGGGTCGCCTAAGACCATTGGAAAACACATATATAATTACATATTGTTTTTGTAATTAATCACTATGCTTTAATTATGTTCAATTTGTAACAATGAAAAGACATCCTGCATATCAGATATTTACGTTATGATTCATAACAGTAGCAAAATTACAGTTATGAAGTAGCAACAAAAATAATTTTATGGTTGGGGGTCACCACAACATGAGGAACTGTATTAAAGGGTCGCGGCATTAGGAAGGTTGAGAACCACCGGACTCTACTCCATTCCTATAGTGACACCTGAATGTACCTGGTGTCAGACTCTTGGTTTCTCTCCCTCTTCTTTTGCTGGGCTCCATGGGAGCAGGAAGTCACCAAAAGAGCAGGTAGCTGCATAGACACTGCTGAGTATGGAAGGGACTGGGTCTGTTTTCAATTTGCATTGTGCTTTCTGCTTTTTAATTCATTCATTCATTCACTCATTTTAAACAACCTTTTCCATGCTTCTCACACCAAATTATTTGTGAATACAAAGAAAGAGGGAGAGATTAGTGGCACAATGAAGAAAGACCTTTTAAGGCCAAATGATTGGATATGGTTGGATAGATGTAGGTGATCAGGGAGAAGTTTTAAACATAATTCCAAAGTTCAGGTCTGGGAGAATCTTGGTACCACTAACAAAGAGATTACAGGGGACACACTGTCTTTGAAGGAAAGGGTACATTTAATGTTTCATTTGACTGAACCGCTCAAATGGAAGGATTTTAAAATAGGATATCATTGAAGGGCACTGACAGTAGTAACTTAGTGGGTAGAATGTAGAATGATTAATACCCGTGCAAGGACTGAAGGCAGTATAATAAAATGGAATAAACATTGCCAAGGGAGTCACTTAAAAACAGTCAGGAGGCAATTAAGGAAGTGAGGCCCACCTTGTGCACAGTTCTCAGAGCGGCTATTAAGTTGTTACCTGTTGCTGAACTCAGCTCAAGGCCCAGCCATAAACATCTTGGAACAAAGATGATACCTGGACATATAAGGACCTTCCTATCCTTCCTTGTAGTTTTCCCCGCCTCATTTGCATACTGGAACCAACCAATCCTGTTAAACTGGCCAACAATTCTTCATTTGCATGGAAGAATTACATTTTGTGGGTTTTGCCTTTATAAACCCTGCCTGCCTTTGTTCTCTCCAGAGTGCAGTTGGGTTGCTACCTAAATCTGCCTTGTTTGGATTTGAATCCTTTAAGACCCCAAATAAACCTTTGTTTTAGAGCCTCAAATCTTTATTAACAATGGCATTTCAAAAAGTAAACTGTGAAGGTGGAAGTAAAACTTGAGTTAAGTATCTAGAAATATACTCTGAATGAAAAGGGGGCTATGCAATAAACCTGACAAGCCGGGGTGTGGTGGGGAGTGGTTGTTGTTGGTGGTGATGGTAGGGGTGGCACATAGCAGGCCTGGCAAGCTCAGTTACCAAAAGTAACCCCACAGGATAGTCTGATCACAGATTCCTAACTGGGCGTCCCAGGTGTTTGGCAGAGGCCAATCTTTAAGTGAGCTCTGCCCATTGTTCTTATGTATCTAGGATAACCTACTAGTACTGTTATTGGGGAAGGACATATAATAAGAATAGAACCACAGCTGTCTAATAATTATTCACCTTACTAATGATAGATGAGAAGTTTTCTTACAGACCCTGGAAACTGGAGGATGAAACAGGCCTGTAAAAGATAAGATACCTCAGAGCCCAAATGGGTCCATTACTCAAACAAAAAACACATTTTGAGAACAGACCAAGGACAGGACACGCTTTGATTTGGTTGCTGCACCTGGACCCTGACCGCCTCCGGGAGTTTTTCTCAGGAACGCTGACCATTCTCTGGTCCCAGGAAGGGGCCGAGCTGTTTGTAACATCATAGAAGACTAGCCACCTTGTTGTTAGACTTTGAGCTTCTTAAGGCCAGACTGCAGACCCTCTCCCCGCCCCACCCCTTTCCCTGTTACACTTGTAGCTCACAGCTGCATGTAGCTATCTTCTCCCTCGTGTGTATATAACCAGCCAACTGGCAAGGGGGGGGGGGTGTCAGAGCAGATTTGTGTGGGTGACACACTGCTCTCCCACACTGCCGGCATTATTGGAATAAATGCTCACATATGATTCAACCCTGTCTCCACTTAATTGGCTCAAGTGGTCACAGGCAGCCCGACCCCTTGGTTGTCCAGTTATAGTACCTTTGAAATGTCAGAGTAATTTCCTTTTTCTATGCCTGGAAGACACAACCCTCAGCACCAGAGCACAAGACCACCAGAGTGTGAGGTCACAGAACCCCTTGTTGTTATCTTGTCTCTGAATGCCATCTCTATGTGCTTTAAATGTTATTAACTATACTTTACCCACCAATGTAAAAGAAGCACAGGGTGTCCCAAAACAGTGTATACACACTTTAACAGCTGATAGCTCAATTTTGAAAATGAAATGTACTTTAATAAACACTGCCTTTATAATCATCCAAAATTTGCTCAGCACGATTTTTTTTTCATTGATTGTGTGTGCATACATTTTGGGGGGATACTCTATATGTTTCTCCATTTTGCCTTTTATCCAATCTTAGAGGTTTCCTGCCACCTCCTGCTTTCTCCCAGCTCCTTAACCTACTATCAATGGATTTCATGCATCTTTCTTAAGTCTTCTCCTTTGATTCTAATATATAAAATAAGCTGCAAAACTTCCATTCTATGGAGCATTTGAGATCTTGCTCCCTGGCATATGTCGTCAGTTTGGCTCAATAAGCTTGTAAAAATTCTCCACAGGTTTGGACTGTCTACACTGACAATGACAATTAGTAAGACTACTTTTAGAGTGGGTTAACGTGTGTGTTGGAAACCATGTTAAGCCATTCATATTTTTTCCTTCAAGGGCAAGAATAGGCATTGAAAGGTTTTAAGCTGAGTCCTGAGGAAAGTTGCGTGTTGGAACGATGTGGAGGGTACCTTCCTTTCTAGAAGTTGGGCAGTGCCAGGGCCACGATAACGGGGAGAGCCTTTCTGGCCTGTATTCTGCAATCTGTGGGGTTCCATACCCCTCTTCATTATCAGGGCCAAGATTAGGGTGTGAGGCAAAATATAAGGGGTGTCAAAAAACCCACCTTTAAGATTAATAATATTTTAATGCAATATTTTTAAAATATTAAAATAAAAATATCCACAATTAACAAAATACCAGAATTTTAAATAAAGGTAAGACCTGTAAGCTGAAGTTAATTAAAATTATTATTTAAGACACTTGTAAAAAATGTTGTCAGACATGGCAATTCTTGCAACTGGAAATAAGAAGTAGATATTGAAAATATTGACCATTTTATGTCCATTAAAGCCAGGAAAGTAAAATTATAATAGTTTTCGGTATAAATAAAATATTTAAACCTAAAACAATATTCTGAGTTTTAATACACCTACTTTTCAAATATTCAATATTTCTTCAAGTAACTTTAGTGTTCTGAAAAAAAGTTTTTAAATACATAAAACTATAGGAGCACATATTTTCCCTTGCGCCTCAGAATACTTGTATTTAACTAAGATTTAAATTTTTTGCTCAGCACGGATTTTTTTCATTGATTTGGACTTTTTTAAACATTGAATTAAAATATTTACCTTGATTGCCAATTTTTTGGCGTCTCCTTACTTTGCGCTCTAAGCCCTATCCCCACACCTTTTTCTTGTTTTCTGCTTTAGGAGGTCGGGACCTTTCCAGTGTTTTCCAGAGGCGGAGCTATCTTTTGTGCCGCCTACCTCGCCCCCTCCCGGGCCGGGGTGGGAACCTCATCAAATAATTTCGTTTCATGATAAACTTGAAATCAGCGCCACTCACCACTTGGCGGTGTTGAGCCAGAAAAAAAAGCTCCCGGAACTAACGCGTTCTGGGGGCGTGTTTCCCGTGGCGATGGCCGGCAGCATTTCCATCAGGCACGCCGCGGCCTTTCCGGTTTCTCCTTCCTCTCGCGAGTCTTGCGTCACGGCCGCGTCGGGAAGTGTCCTCCGGGCTCGGAGCTGCCCGGCTGAAGCGTCCGGTGAGCGCGGGAGGAAGGCGTGAGCTCTGTGCGAGGTGTCCGTGCAGCCCCGCGTCGGTCGGGAGGTGGTGCTGTGCTGTCGCTGTCTGTCCCTTCTCTTTCCGCGCGGGGAGGACTCCGCGTTTCCTCTCCCCTCTACTGGGCTGGTTGGGAGCGCCACTTTAGAAAGGGCACCTACCCATCCTGGCGGTGAGGCCGGGAGCCCAGGAATCTGCCTTAGTCTTTACTAACCGGGATGGAGGCAATTTTTGCAGCAACAAGTTTCCGATTTAAGTCCCTTCATGACATTGTAATATTTATGGAGCCCTCCCTATGTGTTAGGAACTGTTTTAGGTGGATTGGACTTGACTGTAAGTAAATCCGACAAAAATCCCTACCCTCCGGGAGTTTGTCTTTTAATAAAAATTTAGAAGACAATAGAATGGAAACGAGAATAACTCAGAATAAGAACTTTTTGTATGGGTCGGAGGAGGAGGAAGTTAAAGGGGATAAAAAAGATACAGGTGTAAGGTTTCCTTTGGGGGGGAAAACTCATCAAATGTGTATGGTCATAAGATGGATTGCATAAATATCAGGAATGCAAGTTAGGAATTTAGGATTAGTGAATTTGTGCTCTTGCTATATGATGTAGTATTAATTTACCCCCCCCCCCCTTTTTTTTTCCTTCAGGAAAGGACTAAAGATTAGATTGTAGGAAAAGTAGAAGCAATGTTTCGAAGACCTGTATTGCAGGTAATCAATCACTTTTCCATAATTGTGCTGATTAGATTTCTTCAGGCTTTTGACTGCAGAGGCAAAAGAGCTTTGAGCCCACCCACTTTATGTGTACTTATTTGATATGGAGGCTTGGAGACAGATTTTACCTGTGTAAATAATGTTCACTGAAACAAAAATATTTTCTAGTTTTTCATATATATGTATAATGGGGAGTCATTCCTTATTAAAACATGTTACTTACATGTAGATCAGTTCTAGAACATTTAAAATCTTTATTGATCCAAAGACTGAGAATCATTGTCCCAGCATTTTTCTGTAAGTCCATGTGGTTCCTTTTCTGACCACCTACCTTCTTTTTTTGTGTGAAATTTTATGAGAGTTTGTTTGAGCCAAAATGCGGACACATGCCTGTGAACAAGTACTCAAATGCTCTGGAGAATAACAGTTTTGCAGCTTCTTTCATGATGCTATTGAGATTAAGAAGGAAATTTAGGGAAGATTACATGGAAGTGGGAGAGAGCAAGGTGGGGATTGCATACAGCGGTTCTCAACCTGTGGATCGCAACCCCTTTGGCGGTCCTTTATAACACTTTCACAGGGGTCGCCTAAGACCACCCTGCATATCAGATATTTGCATTACGATTCATAACAGTAGCAACATTACAGTTATGAAGTAGCAACGAAAATAATTTTATGGTTGGGTCACAACATGAGGAACTGTATTTAAAGGGCCAGAAGGTTGAGAACCACTGCATTACAAGGTACTTAAGATTATGTACTCTCTTGAGGGTGGTAGTTGTGGCTTATTTCCAACGTGAGTTAACCTAGATGCACAGAAACAATGGCTTGCTTCAGGCAGAGATAAACCTTTCACTACATAAAAGTTATATGCTTGGGGAATGACTACCCACCGTGACCTGCCCAGTTAGGAATTTAGGGTCAGATCACACTGTGAGGTGACTCTTCACAGAAGAGTCCATGTAGTCTGTGCAGGATGATCTTGATAATGCAGAATAAGTTGAAACTCTTTTCTTAACAAAAACTATATATATATACATATATATATACAGATATATATGTGTATATATATATATTCACATATTTATACAGCTATATATACACATTGAGAATCATTGATAGGCTGCCTCCTGCACACCCTTACCTACCTTCTTTGTTGTCGACTGCCTCCCAACCCATCTCTGCATACTGAGGAGAGCAGCCAAAGGTTCTGGGTTCTAGGCATGACTTGCCACTTGCTTTCTGTAGGTTTTTGGGCAAGTTACTTCATCTCTCTGAACTTCATTTTTGTTTTCATCTCTAAAGTGGGGACAATTTTGCATAGTTTATAGGTATATTCTGAGGATGAATTGGTAAGAGCTGAAGCACTTAGCTGGAATTGAGTGACGACAGCTGTTATTATCATTGAATGCTGCTGTTATGTGCCAGCAACTACCTTTCTCTGACGAACTGATTTGGACATATCTTTGTACTTTATCAGGGAACCAAATTTGTTTATCTTAGACCTTTTTATTAGCCTATTGAAAGCATGAGTTTTTTCAGCATATGTTGGATTTTACCTTTTGTGTGCAGCCACAGCAGCGTCATAAACAGGAGGGTTATCACAAAAGAAACAGGAGAGGGCCATAAAGTAACTTTCTCGGGCATGCTCTCTAGTGCCTCCTTTGTACCTTTGGGCTCTGTAGTGGGCTGCCCTTAAGTGTTGCATGGTCCTTCTGGCACCGTGTGATGGAGAACATGGGAAGCACGTCTCTTGTTTTCCGTGGATGTATATGCTGTAGGAGCAGCTGACTAGATGGTGACCAAATGTGAGTAGGTCTTCTGTCTGCATTTGTTTTTCCCTGAAAATTCCAAAAACTTACATCCATTTTACTCATTTTTTCCACTTTAGGTGTTTCATAAATTTGTAAGACATGAGTCTGAAGCAGTAAGCAGCTTGGTTCTGGAAAGATGTAAGTAGTAGCTAATTTCCACGTTTAAAGTATATTTGTAGCAATGTGCTAATGTTCTCTCAAATGTGTTGCAGGGGTGCACTGGTGTTTTATAATCTGTAGGTCACCATGCCTCTGGCTCACATTTGCCTCTTGGGTCTTGGCTTTGCCCCATGAGGCCGCTGGGCCTACTGTAAATTGGGCCTTTCTTTCTTTATCAATCAGATCTCACTCCCTCTTGTCACTTTCCTGCCATATAATTTCCTTGAGTCGTAGTTGGTTATCTAAGTTACCTAGCGTTATGTGCTATTTGTCTGAGGGACTGAAAGTTTATGAAACCTGTTGTTTCGCAGAAATATTTTCTTGTATTTATAAAGATTTTCAGATCTTAGATGTTATTTTAGTGACACGGTTTTTTTAAAGGTATTTTAAAGAAGAATTTAAGATAAAGAGCTTACTTAATACTGGTATTTGTTTTGTGGGCTACTCTAAGAATAGTTTCTCCTTTCTTACCAACCCTTTTTTCCTCCAAACTTCTCATTATTTGTTACTTCAACTGATTTCCCTCTTCAGGACACTTCTCTGAACCTCATTTTATCTATACATTGTATTTCAGCCCTGAATCGTGTGCAGTTACTGGGGCGAGTTGGTCAGGATCCTGTCATGAGACAGGTGGAAGGGAAAAACCCAGTCACAATATTTTCTCTAGCAACAAATGAAATGTGGAAATCAGGAGAAAGTGAAGCATACCAAATGGGTGAGTATAAGTGACTGGGGTGATAATTTTATCAGCAATAAAGAGACATTGTTTAGTTTTAATTAACTAGAGATAAGTTACTTTTAGAAAAGACCTTTCTTCTCTGACTTTGTTTTGTTCTCTTTGACACTGTGATGTTGGTTTTGCCAGGCATGTTGTTCTTTGGCATTTATTTTGTCTGCTGGCATTTGTCACCATGTTTCCTATTCTTGTGATTTAGGTGATGTCAGTCAAAAGACAACATGGCACAGAATTTCAGTATTCCGACCAGGTCTCAGAGATGTGGCATATCAGTATGTGAAAAAGGGGTAAGTGGGGGCAGGAAGAATCTTACAGTTTGAATAGTTTAAAAACTGACAACAGTGTTCTCATGAATTGTGTAACTCCTTTGTTCCTGAGTACTATCAATTTATATTAACTCAGGAAATATTCATTCAGTGCTTAATAGTATATGCAGGTGTTGTTCTGTGTGAAAGGTGTATAAAACCTGGTTTAGCATTCTAAGAACTTAAAGTTTAGGGAAAATAGGACGTGAATATAAATAGGAGCAGATGAGGCCAGAGGGAAGGCAAAATGTACCAAGTGCCCCGTGAACAAGGCAACAACACTGACGGCTGGGTCGTGCGTCTTGTCCTCCACGTGATGGCCTTAGCAGAGGACCTGGAGTGTGAAGCCTGGCACAGTGAGGTATTATGGTCCTATTCACATCAGTTTTTTATATTTGACTATTTTATATAGGCTACATAGGTCCCTTTAGAAATGCTTGTATTGATTATGAATAAAAAGTGCTTTTTCTAAATCCACAGGACAAAAGGGTGTGTTTAACAGCAGTTGTATTCACAGTTAACATATTTCATGAAAAGTAATTTCAGCAGCCACTGCGATTTCAATTTCTTTCCCATAACTGCATGCCTTTTCTTCATATGTACCTCCTTCGCCATTTGTGTATGTATGCCTGAATAATGTGCATATACACATATAAACATGTAGAAAATTTCTAGGAAAATGTCTATGCAATTTCACCTAGTGTGTCTTCTAGCTCATCCTTCTAGATAGTGCAGAAATAGTCTTAGTAATTAACTGAGTGAAATACTAAGCTGAAAACCTCTATTTAGAATTTTAATTATCTAAGTCTCTTGAGGAAAACTTTAGGAATTGAAAAATAAGTGAAAATCAAATCTATTAGGGAGTCCAAAATCAAAGGTCAAGGAAAATGACACATTTGAAATCAATCCTAGATATTTAAAGGCTGTCACTAGATTACTCTTTCATTTTTACTATCTTTGCCTTTAAAATTTTTTTTTTTTTAATTTTAGCTTAAGATTTTGAATAAATTTTTTTAAACTTCCTTATGGACCACAGTCAGCTCAAGGATGAAAACATTGTCCTTTTTACTGAGATGAGTCATTTTACTGAGATGAGAATGTGTGTACATTCTGTTTCAGTACACTTAATTTTGAACTTTATGAAATAGTAGTAGCAGAAATGAGGTTATGTGTGATTACATATTTCATCCTTAGTGTATTCTCATTACTGCCCCTGATCTGACTCTTGTAAAGCATATTAGAATCTCCAGACTAAAAACTGTACATTTTATTTCAGGTCTCGAATTTATGTGGAAGGGAAAGTAGACTATGGTGAATATATGGATAAAAATAATGTGAGGCGACAAGCAACAACAATCATAGCTGGTAAGCTTGTGATAACAGCTGTTCTTTCCCTTCTTTAAAAGCTTGGTTGTGTTATAAGCAACTTTCACTGGGGCTGAGATACTGATGCTAATGAGGTTTTAAGGCAGCTCACTAGAAGAATGCTGAGTGTGCTTTGTGGGCTTGCTATGAGTTTCTACGCTTACCTATTCCTTTAGAAAATTACCTCTACACTCAGACCTTCTTAGTTCACAAGTAATGTTGAGTAGAGTATACATTGAACTATCTGTGCCAGTTCTTATTGGAGTTAGAGTCTTTGAAGGATATGGCCTAAATAGGGAGAAGCATGTGGGAAGATAGAGTTAGATTAATTGAGTGGCATTAGACATTTGTGCAGGTTTACTAGTATTCAGAACCTCTTTGGTACTTACCATGATGGTTTTGTTTTAAATCACTATTCTCATTAAAATAACTTAGAAAAGATGGACACAGAGCTTAAAGAAGGTGAAGAAGTTATCCCCTAGAGCAGTTTTCAAACTGTTTTGAAAATTCTACAAAAATTTTGAAAACTATATCCATTTGGACATCTTTAAATTGACATTAACATTTTTTCAATATAATATTGTTATTCAATGTATTAATGGATCTAAACATAGCAATTTGATATCAATCATCATTTTTTAAAAATCTATGAACAAGTTCTTCAACATTTGGAAATTTTATAGTACAGTCATGCACCGCATAATGTCGTTTGAGTCAACAAAGGACCACATACACAGCAGTGGTATTATCTATATATATAAAAGCCTAACCGACCATTCAACCATCCGACTGGTAACTATGACTACCCAGGGGCAGACGCTCTGACCAGTAGCTATGACGTGCACTGACCACCAGAGGGCAGATGCTTAACGCAGGAGCTGCCGAGCTGTGGTGACTTGGCAGCTGCGGTTCTCGGGTGACACACCTAGAACCAGAGAGGAGGGCGACCTATTCCAGGGTGTGTCACCTGAGAACCACCCTCTCGAAATCTGGGACCCCTCAGAGGATGTTGGAGAGCCGGTTGTGGCTTGATACCCTCAGGCCAGGCCAAGGGACCCCATCGGTGCACGAATCTGTGCACTGGGCCTCTAGTCCTATATAATAAAGCCCTGATATGCAAATCAAATGGTGGAATGACTGGTCACTATGACGCACACTGACCACCAGAGGCAGACGCTCAATGCAGAAGCTGCCCCCTGGTGGTCAGTGCGCTCCCACAGGGCGAGCACCACTCAGCCAGAAGCCAGGCTCATGGCTGGCGGGCACAGCAGTGGTGGCAGGAGCCTCTCCCACCTCCACGGCAGCACTAAGGATCCCTCGGAAGGTGGACATCCCCCGAGGGGCCCTGGACTGCAAGAGGGTGCAGGCCAGGCTGAGGGGACCCTGCCCCCTCACCCCCCAGTGCACGAATGTCATGCACCAAGCCTCTAGTAATATTATAATGGAGCTGAAAATTTCCTCGCGGCTAGTGACATCATAGCCATTGTAATCTCAAGCACAGTGCATTACTCACGTGTTTGTGGGACGCTGGTATCAACAAACCTACGCTGCCGGTTGTATAAAAATACAGGATATACAGTTATATATAGTACATAATACTTGATAATAAATGACTGTTACTGGTTTGTGTATTTACTTTTTATCATTATTTTAGATTGTACTCTCTCTACTTCTTAAAAAAAACTTTGCTATAAACAGAATGGGTGTTACACCCAGCAGCTCTTGATTGCATCATTTTTTCTTGTGCTTGACTTAACCCTACCAGACCGCTGTACCGATTTTTTGGTAATTTCCACACAAAGGTGGAATATTGGCACTAGATGAAAGGTAGATGAAAGGTAGACCTATTTTCTACAATGTCTCCAAGTTCCATCATATTCTAACCACTTGTTTGCATGTAACGATAACATTTTTCTATATTATGTTGGTTTTTTCTCTTTAATGCTCAGGAGCTCAGGTATAGGGGACCGTTAGGTTCAGGGCTTCAGGTCTGGTAGGGTTAATCTTGTGTATTTTTGTACAGTAATAGGCTGTACAGACTTGTAGCTTAGGAGCACTAGGCTATATCATACAACCTAGATGTGTAGTAGGCTATACTGTCTAGGTTTGTGTAAGGGAACTCTACAATGTTTGCACAACAATGGAACTGCCTAACAAACGATACCTCAGAACCTATACTCATCGTTAAATGGCACACGACTGTATTCCCTTTTCTCTGAACTTGTTTTCCCATCCCATTTTCTCCTCCGAAGCGTATCTTAATAGATTGTGTAGTTAAGCATCTTCTATTACTCATCCAGTTATAGTTGTAAGAAAAATATATACATAAATAGAAATTTTAAAATATTTTTTAAAATTCTGACAGTAAGATGCTCAATGTTACATTTCTTCTTCATTGTGTTATCATGGTTCTTTTTTCCCCATTCTTGGAGAAAGTGCTAAAATAAGACAGTAGTTAAGAACTGATTCTGTTCTTTTGTTCATTTTTATGGATATAAACACCGAGAAACTTTGTTTTTATAGATAAGTAGATTAGAATGAAAGACATTTTATTGTAGTAATAATGTCTCAATGTTTAGGATCTTCTGAGTCATGCCAAAATTATTTAAAAATTAAATTTTTCATTTTGGAAAATGTCACACAAAAGTGGAGAGAAATTTTTTTTAAAAACATTTATCATTTAGCTTCAACAATTATTAACTGAGAGCTGATACTACTTCATCTAAACTTCCAGCCACTTTTCCTCCACCTGGGTTATTATGAATTTCAGATGTTATATTATTTCATCCATAAATATTTCAGTAGGTATTTCTGAAAGATATGGGCTCCACTTTAAACACAGCTACAGTGCTGTTAAGAAATTACTGTTAAAAATTGTTTTTACCAGTTATCACAGTGTTCAGAATTCCTTGATTGCTCAATAAATCCAAACATTATCTTACATTATTACATGTGTCTTAAGTCTCGCTCATTTTTTTTAAACAACAGAAATTTATTTTCTTATAGTTCTGAAGGCTGGACATCTGAGAACTTAAGTCTCTTTTATTAATCCTTACCAGAAGATATTTTTCCATTGATTTTTTTTAGAGAGAGTGGAAAGGATAGGGAGAGAGAGGAAAAAAAAAATCAATGTGAGAAAAACACATCGATTGGTTACCTCCCACACACACTCTGACCAGGGCCGGGGATCGAGCCTGCAGCTGAGGTACATGCCCTTGACCAGAATCAAACCTGGGATCCTTCAGTCCACAGGCCAATGCTCTATCCATTGAGCCAAACCGACCAGGGCAACTTAAGTCTGTTTTACTTAACACTTTTTTTTTTTTTAAATGTTTCTCTTCCTTGCTCCAGAGTTCATGTTTTACCCACCAAACCATATTGGTAAATTACAATTTGTTGTAAATAATAATTACAGTATGTATTTTCTTACTGGCTTTTTTGAAAGTATATTGACCTTAAAAACCAGCATGGGTAATTTTCTGCCTTCATTATAAGACCTTAGACAAGGTTCTTCATGACCATTTTGTTTTCATAATTCTTGAGTGTCTTGACAGTAAATCATTTCCTCCATGTCCTGTTCTTCCTTTGGCCATATCCAACTGTTCAAATTTTTTTCCAGATCTCCATATGGTATATAGATCTACACCTATGATTTCAGCAGTGGGAAACCAAGCTTCTAATAACATAATAATTGACAATTTCTAAATCTCTATTAACTATTTATTTATGAAGCATTTAACACTTTCATATTTTACTATAAACCAAATGTGTGGGCTAATTTTGATTGTGTAAATTGTTATGAACTTAGCCAAATGGATGCATTTCAGATTATCTGCCTTTTTGTGTTTTTCTTGTCAGCAGTGTTCATATAGATTTCTAGATCATAAATGAATAGGTCTTTAGTGACATTTGAATTGAAAGGAGTTTAATTTGGTTGATCTGTTTCATAGGCTATATTTTTTCCTCCTAGGGATCATGTCTATAACTTAAAAATAACCACCAGCAGATGGCACTCTTGTCTTTACACAGTGATGCAGTTCTAACAATCTCTTCTGAAATAAACATTCTGCACCAAAATATTCCATTTTTTGAAGACTGGATAGTCAATAATTATTCAGTCATTATATAATAACCATTTTTAAATAATTCCAAAGTTAAAAGAATCTAGATCTTTTGGAGTTACACAGGAAGTATTACTAATTCTTTTTCTTTGCATGTCCTAAACTAACTCTGTCTGGAACAGCATTTTAAGAGTAATGTCTGATGTTCTTAGATAAAAATGTTCTCTTTGTAATATTGATTAGTCAATCTTTTCCAAAGAATGAGTATATAAAAAGTCATTCTGTTTTAACATTTAAAAATAAAATGTCTTCTATGTGAGCGTTCAAACTTCCTTTAAAACATAAATAAATCTGTCCTTGCCGACAAGGCCATGTGTTGAACCCCGTCCTTCCCCCCACCTCCAGCATGAGGAGTGTTATGCCTGGTCCTTTTCTACGTGAGGATGTGCTGCCTGTTTAATGGCACCTGCCTGAGCATTGAAAGCTTTGAAGTTTGTGACTTGTTGTTTGGTAGAGAGTCATTGCTGAGAAGACCTTAATTGTTCAGGGAAGAAAAGAAATATGCCACCTCTTTTAACAAGGTCTGAATTGTTGACAGATAGCTGAAGCCCAGCTTTGAGCTCCATCCTGCCAATTGTATATACCTCTAGGGAACAGCAAGAGTTGTTCAGTATTTTGAGAATTGGCATAGAATCCTTTTACGTAACAGCACTGAAGTATATATGTATTAGAGGGGAATGATTAAATGGGATGGGAAAAGTGTTCTGAAAATAATATTTATACTCTGGCTTCTTTACAGATAACATTATATTTCTGAGTGACCAGACAAAAGAGAAGGCATAGAGCGGACCACTCTTCTTTGGCCAGTGTTTGGTATAGTCTCATTTCCAAATCATGTATAGCCTTTATAGTTTCTAAGGACAAAAATTAAAATATTCTTTTATATAAAATGATAATATTTCTCCTTTCTCCTGACTGTTGCTCTCCACTTCCCTTTTTGTGCCATCAACCTTGGTAGTTGCTGTCTAATGCGACATTCACTAATTGTTTATTCTTTTAGGGGTGGTTTCTATGTACAAGTATACAGAATAGTGAACTGTCAGGTTCATCTGCGCTATAGCAAAGGAATAATGTCCTTTAGGAAGACCCCTTGTTTTTTTGTGTGCATTTCTGTTATAGTATTGATTCAGTATTTATTGAGTATCACTATATGTTAGGCATCTATCTCCCTGTTGTAAATATTGATTTTCTTAGCTGTTTGCTCTGTGTACCTGCACTTTAATGAGAGCTTGGTATAGAACAGACAGTGGATAAGTCTTGAAAGATGCATGATCCCAGTGGGATATTCAGCTTTAGCCCAAAGTGAAGGGAGTTGCTGAGCAGGTTGGTATCTAACCTGCCTTCTTCAAATCTTTTGTTTGTGGATAGTTTCAATAGTAGCATTTATGAAATGAAGTTTACTAGCAATAAAGACCTGAAATATAGCTAGGGGTAAAGTAGTTCATCTCCAGAGGATGGTACAGGGCTCTGGTTCTGATTCTCTTTCCTTTTATTCTCATCCAGAACTCTCAGGGAAGTCCCCTGACCAACCTTTGACCTTGCCTCCCTAGGTTGGAGCCTCAGTATGACATTTTCCTTTTCTTTTTCCACGTGGTTTGGATGCACATATACATAAGAGAAACTTGTATTCATGCAGAAAATTGTGTGCTTTTATTATAAGGTTCTGGAAATTACAGAGTACTAATAATTTACTAACAAGGATCACATGAAAGAAACACAGCTTTTCAGTGCACCTTTTAGTACTTAAAGTTTGCGTCAGTCCTCCACAGGTTTGCCTCTAGTTTGCTGCAGGGTTTTAGAGGTTGGCTGCTATAGAAGTTATTCATTCCATCTGGGTCAGGCCCAGCCTATGTATATGTGCCCTGGGGTACATGTCCTCTCCCCTCTGCCTGAGAGCATGCTGCTCACTGAAGCTTAGGAGGTGCTGGACTTGAACAGGTTCAGAATTCACACACTGCGTATTGACTCTTAATAACCACCTGAAAGGAATTCTGAGCCTGGGGCACAGGGGCAGAAATTGTGTCCTACGGGATCCTCGTAAGCCGAGGGCCTCTTCTCCCAACTCCCCCTGCAGACTTCTTGAAAGGCTCTGAGGCTGGGGCGGCAGAGCCTGCAGAGTCAGGTGTTCAACGCGGAGGCCTCAGATGTGCTTTGTACTGCAGACCTGGCGATTGAAATCAGACAGGTTGTGGGAGTACGAACTCTGCCCTCCTACTGAGGCAGCCCCATCTGCTGCTCCCAACATGTCTAGGCATAGAGGAGATATGTGGAACCCAATAGCAGTAATAGAATGTGGGGATCATCTGGTCCAAGTGTGTCCCACATTTCCCTTTTTCAGGTATGGTGTCGGATAAACCTGCCGAAATCTGCTCTGTGACTGATTTTGAGATTCCATGTTAAGTGGAGAGAGGAGTATGATACATAGAACAGTGGGAGAAAAAGTATCAAGCAGCATGTGTGGTGTTATCCCAGTTTCCAAAAAAAAATTGCAGTTAATATAATTATATACTTAGAAAAGTCTAGAGGAAGAAACATTAAATGTTATGATCTCTGGATGGGGGGATTTTGTGTGATTTTTCCTTATTTCCTTAAACTTTTATATATATGTCCTAATTTTAATTTTTAGCATTGAAAGTGTATTACTTTTTTAATAAGAAAAAAATAAAGCTTTTTCATTTTGGGGAAAAAAAACACCTTTCCATTATTTCCAAGGCAGGCTTGCTAAACTCATTCACCTTCAGCTAGTACAGCTTCATGTACTGGAGGGAACAGGTAATCAAACATTCGTGTTTTTTTCCCCATCATCTGCATCTTGGCATCTCATGCTTAGACACTCACTTCTTTATTTTTTTTTCTAACCTCTTTTCTTTCATTTCCCCCTTAATATGTGTACACAACCCAGAGCAACCAACTGTAAAGACCAACCCAGATGAGATGCACTGTTCACTGCCTATACAGTTTTCAGCCAACATCCATTTCTTAAATACCACTGGATGATTAATCTAGAGATATCCAAAAATACCAAAGACATGCTTCTGTGGCTGTTTTGAGAATTCCTTGTCATTGCCAACCGGGTTACAGCCTAACCTTTGTAGCTCAGGAGAAATTAGTAATAGTTTCCCTTTGTTCCCTAAAGAACATGCAATTCTTTTCTTTTTTTTTCTTAAATATATTTTTACTGATTTCAGAGAGGAAGGGAGAGGGAGAAAGAGATAGAAACATTAATGATGAGAGAGAATCATTGATCGGCTGCCTCCTGCACGGCCACTGTTGGGGACTGAGCCACTACTCAGGGATGTGCCTTGACTGGAAATTGAACCATGACCTTCTGATTCATAGGTTGATGCTCAGCCACTGAGCCACCCTGGCTAGGCCATGCAGTTCTATAAGGCAGGTTTGCCGTTGATTCAGACTACCCTTTGCCTCTGTCCAGCTCAGCCTAGCACAGCGACATTTTAGTGCATTGTGAATATTTGTTTTTCAGTTGGAGTTCACTTAGACACTGACATGAAAATGAGGGCAGGATCATTTTACTGAGTTATCTGTCAGGGTTTGCATTATAAGCCATGCAGATAGGTGGGAGCAACAGCAAACAAATTTAAAATGCGAGATGATCACAGGTAATGAGTTTAGAGAAATCTCTTACAGTAATCGTACGAATGGCTGACATTTATTGTGTGCTTACTGCCTGCCAGGCTAAGTGCTTTTATCACTGTCTCATTTAACTTTGACCCTAGGAAGAAGGTACTATTAGCCTCATTTTACCTGGGAAGAGGAAACCCTAAGCAGAGGTTGAGTAGCATATTGAAGTCATATAGCTTAAAAGAGGCAACCTTGAGTGTGAACTTAGGTATGTGAAGTTTTCATTTTGTTTTCTTCTCACTGCCTGTTTCCTGCCACCCTCCCACTCCCATTGTCCCTAGAATCCACAACTCCTCACTGCTAACCTTCGACCAGCCCCCCATGCAGGACGCATATGAATCTCACAGGGAATCCTATATAATAAAAGGGTAATATGCAAATCGACCGAATGGTGGAACAACTGGTCTCTGTGATGCGCACTAATCACCAGGGGGCAGACACTCAATGCAGGAGCTGCCCCCTGGTAGTCAGTGCACTCCCACAGTGGGAGTGCTGCTCAGCCAGAAGCCAGGCTCACGGCTGGCGAGCAGAGTGGTGGTGGTGGGAGCCTCTCCCGTCTCCTGTGGCAGTGCTAAGGATGTCCACCTGCGGGGAATGGGCCTAAGCCATCAGTTGGACATCGCCCGAGGGCTCCTGGACTGTGAGAGGGCACAGGCCGGGCTAGGGCTCCCCCCCCCCCCCAAGTGCACGAATTTCATGCACCAGGTCTCTAGTTTAATACATAATTGGTGGGGGAGAATCACACGTGAGGGAGAAATACCTCTATCTTTTTACTCTTTCTGATTTTCATTCGATAGCCTACAGGAAAATAAGTCACAGCTAATGTCTCTACCAGGTTCTCACATTCCTCTTTTAACCAAGCAGTGCCTCTTCTGGTTAAAGTCAGTTCATTGTGTGTGCTCCTCATTGTTTCCTTCCTGTGGAGAGAGAAATTGTTAGGAAGATGGTTCTAGAATTTGTCAGGCTCACTGGAGAATGAGACTTGGCAGGTATCGACAATATTTGAGCCCCCTCTTGCTGCTATATTTGCCTCTGTGCCAGTCCCACAGTCTGTGATAGGACTGTGGATGTTTCTTTCGGCCGTCAGAATCATGCAGCCACAGTAATGAAATTTCTCTTTTTGTCTCTTTCCTCTTCATCCTTTTGGTCTCTCCTGTACTTTTGACCTCAGAGTCTTGTTAGTCCATAAAGTAGTACATCTTGACATTTTAGTTTTTCTGTTGCACCTGTCATTTGAGAAAAAGTGGTCTATCATATTAGTTCCCTTAAGGCTATGCTGTTAGAAAGCCTGGATTTGAATCCCTGCTTCCCTTACCAGCTGAGTGGTCTTTGGTGAGTTTCTTAACTCTCCTTGCCTTGGATTTTTGTTGTTTTGTTTTCTGTGAATAAACAGGGACAATAGTAGTATCTACTTTAGAGGTCTACTGTGAAGAGCATAATAAATAATATATGTAGCTTACTTATTAGCATGGAGTGACTGGATCAAGTGCTCAACACATACGGGCTATTGTTATTGCTGTAGTTATTTTAAACAAGGCATGTCACTGTGTCACCATGCCCATTGCATCAAATCCCATAGATACTTATGAGAGCATATTAACTTCAGTGTATTGTACTTGATCTTTTTTGTTGTTGTTACTAACGTCCATGATTACTAAGCACATATGCCTCTTGGGATATGTTTTGTTGTTTGTTTGTTTTTACTCTTCCATGGCTTTTTACAATTAATTTGGGCATCTGTTTAAACTCAAAAGTCAATTAGATACTTGCTGTATGCCATGTATCCTGCAGGCCTGAGTGTAGGGATGAGTATAACAGGAGTCCTGCATTGAAGGAGCTCCTGATTTAGGTTGATGAGGGTTGTGTGGGGAGGACAAATAGGAGCCTGTGTAGCTAAGTGTAATATGGTTGAAATAAAGTCCTGTGTGGGGCACAGAAGAGCATAGTTAGGTTAGTGTTTAACAGAAGAATCAGGATGGACAAAGGCCCAGAAACTTAAAAGTGTATGAAGCTGTGAGAGAGAGAACCATGAAGAGTGGGTCAGGCTAGATCAGAAAGGGCCTTGAAAGCTTGCAGAGGACTTTGGCAGTGGGAGCTCTAGAACAGTGGTTCTCAACCTTGGCTGCACATTAAAGAAAGGCGATCTTTTTTAAAAGAGGGTCTGTGGGCCTCACTCTCCGGAAATTCTGTTTCTTTGTTATGGGGTGGGGCCACAACATTAGTAACAAAGAAACAGAATTTCCGGAGGATG